TTCTTACATATTTGGAAATAGAGGGCACTGTGGGAACTTCTAAATTTCTAAATTTGAGTCAAAACTCAAGCTCAGAGTTTGCATAGTAATTTTTTAATGCAAAATCTGTATCATATATCTTGATTAGGATGAGCACAGTAAATCTGGAGGTGCAGTGTCTTATTCATTTTTTCACTTATGAAAAAGGAAGACTTTCTGGAATAGTTTCTCCATTAGAGCAAATAAAAAAGACAATGCATCAATTGATTTTTTTTTCTTCTAAATCACAAAATCATCCAGCCTTCTGCTTGTGGAAGGCAAGAATGTATTTCCAGTACAGTGGAAATAGGGATTGTGTGGCAGGAACTGAGTCTCTGTGTATTGCCAAGATAGGGAGAGAGGTAAAAAGAAAAAATACAGTTAGACAAATAGCCTCACAGTAATAAACCTTAGATCTTAGTGTATGTGTGTGCGTGTGTGTGTGTGTCATTCTGACATCAAAGTATTACCTGACATCTCAAAGTAAGAACATTCTGAAAATACCCATTTTTTTTTTAAAGTCTAAGAGCCACAATCACATATTTAAAAATGCATCGCATCAACACAGAAATTTTAGGTTCAGGGAATGCTCTGAAGATGTATTACTTCAGGGCACAATTACCTTTACCCTGCCCTGCCCACCTGGCCAAATGGCCATTCTGAGCACAATTATTAGCCAATGTTCTTCTGTTATTATTACTCCTCACTTCTATTTCAAATGGTGCTTGTGACTAAATGGTGTTCGTGACTAAATGGTGTTCTTACGCACAATAGAAGCAATTTGTTCCCTCTGATGGAATTGAAATATGAAGAACAGCAGTGGAAGCAGCATAACTGATAAATTAGGTTACTTCCCTCACTATCTGAGTCATGGATTGAGCATTTGAGTCATACATTGCAATCCTCACAGGAAACAATATTTACTTTATTGATAAAAGCCACAGGAAGAGTCTCCCAGCTCTAGATAAAAACACGATCATCTAGAAAATACAGGAAACAATATTTGGGTCTTTTAGACTGGCTAGCCCTGGTCAGTTCATTTAGTGAGAACTTTTTTTTGAGGTGGTAGTTTGTTGAACTTCTACAGAGTGGGTAAAATTGAGGTCAAAATCTACATGACTGATATATTTGGAACATGTAGTCTGTAATCTCAGGGCTGATTTCTTGAAAGTTCTAAGCACTTTGCTCATTAAGAAGGCTCAACACATATTGACTCATGAGAAAGAAGCTTTGATTCATCTGAAATTGACAGAGAATGAATGAAGTTCCAACTAAGTGACTTCACTAAGTGACTTTTAGAGATATTAAGGGTAGATTACAGATAAAACCTGGATGTCCCTCAACCTGAACTCCAAGCGATACATCCCAAATCAAGGGGCTCAGAGCTTAACAGACTCAAGATAATCTTGTTTCCTTCAGAGGGATAGAAGCAATGTGGAATATCTGGATACATTTGGCCCAGTATTTGTGATGAATAACATTTTTTTGACTCATCATTTTCTATTTCTGTTCTTCAGCTCCATTTAATTATGATCAAAAGAATCAAAATATGCTCTAGACCCAAAATAGAGGTATCCCTATTTGGGGAAGTCTCCAGAACAGGATGAATTCTCAGATAGGTCTAGCAAGGGGCAAACTTTCATCTATCTTTGCATCCAAATATTCTGATTTTAGTCCTGGAATTGAAGACACTGAAAATTCTGGTGTCTGGGATCTGTCTCTGAGTTATCACAACCTTAGAATGGCCACTGGCATGACCACTGGTTCCAAATTCTCAAACATAGATCCAGAAGGTCCACGTGTTAGATTGACTAAGCATATTCCAGCCTAGGAAGTTAAAAGTAGCTAAGAATTTTATAGGGCTTGTGTTTTCTTTTCTGTCTGTAGAAATAGTCAGAATAATAATTTTATTATTGTCCTGTCTTATACTCCAATGAAAACAATAATTATCAAAACAACCAAATGAAAACGAAATCATGCTGAACATAGAAGTAGAAATCAGCAGATGTTCTAACAGCCACACACCAAGAACAAATAATAGTTAAATACTGCTAAGTGAAGAAAAATAACATTCAGAAGCAAGAGCCAGGGGAATTAAGTAGACAGATTGTAATTAGCAATTACCTAAACTGAATCATGTCCAGGACATAAGGGCTAACATCACCTCTACCATTCTAAGAGGTGTCCTGGGATTTTTAATAAACTAAAGTAATAGGAGCCCCCTTCCCATTTTGTTTCCCATTAACACATGGAATTCCAGTCCTGTTTTGTATCCACAGGTCAGTTTTGATCAGTACAGAGAATTTTTTGCATAAATAAAAAATATACTATTTTTCATGTGTTTCATGCACAGATTCCAAAATCACTAATTTAAAAATTCATGTCAATTTGGATACAAGCTAGTTTAAACTACATTTAACAAAATTATGTCATTCAAAGGTCAAAATATTACTGTCAAATTAATACTTTAAACAAATTGCCGGAGAACAACTTACTGCAATACTTACGTGCAACCTTACAAAGAATGAACTGTATAGGAAGCAGGTAGCAGCGAGGTTCAGGATGGTGTTCTGGCAAGCTAATTACATGCAGTCATTATGAGATCCTTAGAGCAGGATCTCTATAAGCAACATTCTATTATGGGTTTAAATTATTTGAAAATGATAACCCTTTATTTCTTTAAAGATTATATACAGTTATTACCAACGTAAATGTGCATTTCTCCTCAATTAAACTACATTACTGTGTCTTCACTGCCCATATACAATATTAGGAACATCATGATGATGTAATGATATCTAACTCATTTGACATTGCTACAGAATGAATGAAGTACTCCATCTAAGTGATATTTACAGATCATCAAGGGTTATCTCTTTATATTAGAGGGGGCAAAAATAAATAAATTAAAATGTCAAGTACTTATTGAACACTTGCCACGTGAAGGGTGCTGGGTTTGAAGCTGTGTCCAAAGTGGATTACATCATTTCATACTGAAAATTACTTAACCCCGGTGATGTGTGATTGGGCGTTTATGGTTGCATGACTCTGTAATGCAATGAAGCCTCCTAAGTTATAAGGGGCCTCCTAAGTTACAGAGGGTTAGTTGTTCCTGTAATACATGTTTTCTCCATGGGGGCAACAATCACAGCAAGATTTAGCTTTGTCAGTGGAAATTCTGGGGTAAACTGCAGGGTTTGGAAAGAAGAAAACTCAGTATTAACTGAGTAGTGGTAATGGGTCAAGGAGAGAAGGAGAAAGGAGGAGGGAGGTAGGCTCCTCAAAGGAAAACAAAAAGCAAGGAAAAATTCTGTAACCTTTGAGTTCCCTCCCTGTTCAGCTTTATCCCAGAGGCAAAAGTGCAACAAGGAGAGGCTTTCTGCTCACACCTTGTGTTAATTAAATTTGCTCCATGGAGTTCATTATTAGAGTTAAGGTGGCAACTAAATGCCTTTGTTAGGAGAAGGGTAAGAACCTGCTAAAGATTTGCTCCCTGGGCCTTGTCAGAGCAGAGGAGCCAGGCTCAGGAGCCACCCGCTGGAACATACAGATCCCCTCCCCAACCTCCCTCAGAAAAAGATCACAATAAATTTGAAGCTGAAATAGGGGACAAGAATCCACACTAAGCTTTGGTTAAAGTGATGAAATTGTGTGTCTGTTCTTTGGTGCCTGTATTCTTTCATTCTTGCTCCAAATTGAATTATTTTTCTTAACAAATATTAAAGATTGTAATTTGTGCTTAATGAGTAATTCATGCTGATATTTTCATAAGAGTCTAATTATGCAGGAAGCATAATTGGCTGGCTCCCGCACTCTCCTCATTCTTTTCCATTAACCTAGGAACAGTCTATGCGCTTAGCTTTATTCCCTATACACGGACACATCTCTTTCTCTCAAAGAATCTATCAGATGGCCTTTGAGGTATTATTTAGCCTTGGTTTTACAAAATTTAACTCAATAGGTGCCAACAAAGCTGTCTTTTTCTGGCTATTGGTAATTCCCGTCACTCCAACATGGCAAGGCGAAAACTCCCCGCTTATGTTAACACCCAATCCCGAGTCGACAGGTTCTGAGCATCTCCTCTACCAGTGACAGGACTTCTCAAACTTGAATAAAATACCGGCCCTCTTTAAAAGAAAAAACCATTCTTGGAGACCCCCAGCAATCATTCAAATCTTTTTTATGTTAACATTACATAAATATATACAAACATAAAACTAGCTATGACCCACTTATGCTTATAGCCCGTAGGCAACCAATACCAATTTACAAACTGAATACAAATCTAGAAGTTATAACATTTCGATTAACAATATTACTTTAACATGACAGCTAATATTGCTTAATTTGAACAAAATTATCAATCCCACAGTAAACATTAATATTCTGACCTCTCTGGCCCAGGTTCTGCTGAGGCCATCACGCTCATACCAAATATAGCTTGCTGTGATTCTATTCTCTCCCCTAATTTTCTCCATTTGAAATGGTGTGAAACCTTTGGTTTTAAAAGCACACTCTGGCATCATTTTATCTTTTGCTTGGCACAAATGCATTTCTTACATTCTCAATCTGGCTCTGCTCTTTTCTCAGTAGCCCTTGACAACCAAAGCAGGACAGGTTTGGTCCCCATGTAGTTAGGAACACAACACAGGCTTTAAGATCCTGTAGAAGTACCTGGTTATGAGGTAGGTGGTCAGCAAGATCATTCAGAATATGCTTGCATTATAATGTTTTGGATTGTCATTGACATGAAATACACACATGCATCCACTACTCTCAGAGAACTCTGAGACCCCTGAGAATATATTCTTGGAAACTCCTTCCCTGCATGCACAATTTGTCTTTGTGATCTGTGGCCCAACAAGCTTAACCATCAGGGTCCTGAGGTCCAAATAAAGTGTGGGAGAGATGGGGTTCGGTTAGGATGGTGGTCATGATTTCTTCTTACTATATTTAGCACTTAGCTAACATTATCATTTTGGTCTTTTCATAAATGGGTTCTCAACATTTTTGAAATTCCACCTTGAGCATTAGGTTAAGTTCTACTAAAGATGCATGGCAAATTGAGTTAATGCCAATCACCATTACAGACTTTCACTGTTAGCTATTTGAGGGCTGACGTCTGAGACCCAAACCATATTCTCTTTCTCTCAACGTCCTCTTTTATTCCAAATTCTCTTAAGGGTCAGCACACCTATAAAGTGTACACCCCCCACACCACTATGCAAAGAAAAATAGTTAGAACCTAGGAATATCCTTTTTTAAAAGACTCGTAATATGCTATATTATGAAACATATTAATACACTTACAAGTGTAACTTTGCATATTATTAAAAACCATTACCCTAAGGTCATATTATGCCAAGCATCACTGCCTGACTCTCTAGACCATATTTTTCTTCTTTCCTGTAAGATAGACCCTCTGGATCACTTATTTCATAAGGACAGAAGCCCAGTACATAGTTGGGTCTCTTCTGGCTGCTGCTTGGCCTCATCTGGGCAGTAATTTGGGCTCCCTACCCAGAGAAGTCAATAGGGCCCAGCTATTTACAAGAGGGATGGCTGCTGTGCCCCACTCAGAAGCATTTGAGGCCATTTTCTTTCACTGATACAGGAGAGAGATCCACTTACAGTAGAAATGCAGTCAGTTTGCAGAACTGAATTCAATTACCCAGCTCTGCAACTGGCCATAGTGTGCCCTGTGGTTAGAAGAAGGGGAACAGCATAAAGGGTTTATCTTGCTTTCTGTTTTCCTTTCCTTTCCTCTTTTTTTTTTTTTTAAGAAAAAGTATTAATTGAGCTTGTTAGCTTTCACATTATTTGTGGGAAGCTCCTCTCTGATAAAATGGGGATTTATTTAATGAGACCTGATTTTGACAGAGTGCATTGTAATGGAAAAAATTCCTACAGTGAACAAGTCAAATATTAAGATTAATCCCTGTCAATTTTATGGTCACATCCTTAAAGTTTAGACTTGGATTTTTCAGGAAGTTAAACACCTCCATTTTTTGCATAGCATATCGATTACTCCCATAAGCCTTTGAAAACTGATACCCACAAAAGATCTTGCTCCATACACCAACAATGGGTGTCCCTCCTCAAAGAAGCTGCTGGACATCAGGGCACAAGTGAAAGGTGAGAATCCACTGGTAGGGGCCTGCGTCAACTATATTCATTTTGACACTTACGGTCACTAAAATTCTCTAGGCCTCAGTTTCCTGTTCATAAACTCACTATAATATTATCCTCTATAGATAAGAAGATAGCATTTAAAAGAGTCTGTCATCTGCTTTCAAAGAAATAATATTTATGTAAAAACTAAAAAGGGTTTTGCAAAGAGCTGGCCTTTCAGTGTTACCCTGCTGAAGACCCTAATTACTCCTGAAGAGTTTACAGAAGTTGAGCTTATTCGAGTAGGTTATATGTTTTTTTTTTTTATCTTGTGTTCAAGGCCTCACATATTGTGAATTACTATGGATCTTATGTGCTCTCCAAAGTTTTACTCATGCTCAGTGAAGAACTGACACAGAAAGAGACAACATGAACTGAGAACAGATTCTAACTGTCAGTCAAAACAATTAGTAGGAAAAAAATTAAACCCATCCACAAATGTCTTTTTATTCCTAATTCGTTTTGCTTTTTAGATTTATACAGTCCTAGAAATACAGGATGGGAATCTATCTGAAGGCCAAACAAGGTAAGTTTTTAACTGACTTTAACACAAACTACGGCTCTCCTAAATTCTTAACTTCTAAGCTAAGCTGAAGGGATCAGCATGTTAAAGCAAATCCAAAATTGTACGGCATTTACATGGAAATCAGTGGGCCTTCAAAGTCCCTTCATCACTAGTTATTGGGCAGGAATTAATAGGGATATAGGTGTGGAACTGGCAGAGAGATAGCAATTTGGTCATGTTATCTGATGCCAGCATTTTTGTTGATACACCAGTTGATTTGTATACCAGGCAGTATCTTTCTATAAGACACAACAGACTGGTAGTTCTAATGGTGCCAACTGTCATTGAGATCAATGGTCCAAGCATCCTCTTCACTTCAATAATAAAGGCAATGCTGCTTGACAGGACAGGCTGGAAGCAGCAGAGTGACCACAAGGGATGGCATTATTCATGCATTTAAATGACAAATGACATTCACACGCATCCCACTCCAAAAGTGGGACCTATAATTTGCAGCATTATAGCACTGAATCTGTTTATTAGAGTAGTAGAATGGGAATAAGGACACCTGGGTTTTATGTCCAACTCTGATATGGTATATGACTCCAGGCAAGTCATTTAAACTGGCATTCTGAAACGGGTGTATTGCCACCTGCTTGGTGGAAGAGAATCATATGAAAGATCTGACATTTATATGATGCTTAAATATGTTTTAGACCAATTTAACTTGAAAGTCCAATTTATAATGACTGACTTAGACTATTTCTAGAAA